ATAAATAAAAAATATCAGTAACAAGACACTATTATTCCCATTTCTTTCATTAAATTGTAAACGTGCATTTTTTTAATCGTGGCGTTATTCGTTTAACAGGAAGCGTTAAATAGCTGAAATTTTCACGATCTAAAATTCTAAATGTTTAATTCATTTATCCTGGTACAGCACAAAGAGGGAATGTACACTACAGTTCTCGATGGATTTTGGTGAATGTATAAATAATCGTAAATCGTTGTTTTCTTTAATTTTTCTTGATTTACCTTATAATTGTCCTCACAACACTTCGTTCTTCCCTTGGCTTCCTTAATAAGGTCTTGTCTGGTGGAGCCTTGTATATAAACGTGTAGATTACCTTTGCAATTATAATGAGTAACCTGCAACCTATAGCATTAGTATTTCTAGTGTGATGAATATATTTCATAATATAATTGGTGTAATATCATTTACGCGAGGATTAAATACGGCTTATAAAAGTGAGTTATAAACAGGTTGCTGGGTATTTCACAGTCTGAATTTATAGACAGGTGTTAAGTTTATGAATTTATGTTGGGTGTGGGGACAGATATTGAATGTTGAACGACATAACAGTCAATATGATCAAAAGATTCTATTGTAGCGTGTTTCTTGTCTCCTCTTACCGCCCCAACCTCCTCAACCACAAGAGCTTTCTGGGGTTGTCCTCTGCTTAAAAATATCAGTTTCATGTAGTAATGCAGAATAAAAGCACTACTCTAATGTAACAAACCATTAGAGCGTTATATTACTGATTTAATACGTAAACAGAATGAATATTAAAATAAACAAAATAAAGATGATGTTAGTTTTTGAAATCCCATCGCCTGTGAAGATTAGGTTAGTCCCCCGGCCGTCCTCTGGGAAGAGCCGCTTTTGCAACTTCCACAACTCATCGAAAATTTAAGCAAGTTTTGGAATGTAATCGTGTTGGCCGCCAGCCTGAGGTGAGGGAGAGCCACGCCCACACCACGTCCTCACCGCTTACCCTTTCTCTCTGTCTCTCTTTGTATCAGCTTTTCTGTCTGTCCCTAGAACACACCACCATCTAGGAGTACAAGAATCACACCTAGAAATCATTACAGTACAGGACGTCACGTTACATGTTACTTTTGCTACAATAAAGTAACACGACCTGGACCTTTGACCTTAATCGTCTTATGGAACATCTTTTAGTATAATTATCCAGATGAGGCTCCATTAATCCCGTGAAGCCCTGCAATAATATCCGGCCTTCAGAGTGCAGGTGATTCAGCGTCTTTTCCTTAGTCTTTTGTTACCTAAATCACCTCCACTCTGTAGGCCGGATATTATTGCAGGGCTTCACGAGATTTATGGAGCCTCGGGTAAATGACACGATGATGATGGTAATAACTATACTGCAACCCATCACAGTGACTCTATATCATTAATTAACACGAGTGATGATGTACCGTGTGCACAGAGGAGCCTCACCTGTACCTCACCGTGCCTCATATATACAGCAATATTGTCCTCACCCGTGGAAGACTTAACACATCATCAAGTGAGGACAAAGAAATGTAAAAAAAGGACAAACAGACAGAATCCCTGAGAAGAATATAATTATCCATCAACTAATATTCAAACGATTCGTGCATTACCTTACCAATCGTTAGTAAACTACAACAACCTTAAACAATTAACAGTGACCATAACTGCACACATGGAAAAATAACACGAAAAAACTATAAAAGATTATTTCTACCTAGCTCAATGTAAACAAAAGACCCTGGAGCAAACAAGACAAAAGCTACATCCTCCGTAGCTTTATATCCTGGTGTGTTTACTTGTACTGAAAACAAAAAAAATATCAAATGGAAAACAAATATTGTCTTTGTACTTCAAGGTCACAGGCTATACAGTTTGATGACTTTTTCTGGCCTGGTGTTTTATTTTTATGTTTTCTCAGTTGTCTTTCTATGCCTGAGGTTATCGCCTTCTGTGTTAATGAAAAGACATCAACAGCTCGTCCCAATTAGAGTAAAAGAGACTGAGAGACCTCTTATAAACGTCCGTACGTAGAGAGAGACATAGATGAAAATAGATAACGAAACAGAAAAAAGACGAATGGATAATTGAACGAAGAAACACTGGAAAAACAGAATTGTTAGAAATAAAAAAAATAACGAAGTCTCCTTTATCAGCACGTCTGACACACCAAGAACAACCATGCAAGTGGAACACGTTAAGGTGTTTAGGATTTTTCCTCCACCATCCACCCCACCTGAGAAGCTAAACCTCCTCGTCCTAAGAGGGATAAGCTGCAATATCATCTTTCCAGGGATCGAGGGGGAACCAAGTACCGTCACAAAGCAAGGAAAACCCCCAGAGGACGTTACCAAAATGAACCAGAAAACCGAACGACATTAACACTCAGAACCAATAAGATCAGGAGCAGTATTGTGAGAGAAAAAAAAGTAGAAGACTGAGGCGACACTTGTTTATTAGACTGTACGTTTGTGTATTTTTGACGATGATGCACACAAAAATATAGCATTGAATTTCCTTTTGGATTTTTTTCATAACCTTGGAAAAAGTTATTCAGATTTTGTAAACACCAACATCAATCTTCATGACACTTTGACATTTCTTCCTCAACATCGCTCTACAGGTTCTAAAGAAATATATCCTCAGGTATTGTATGAGAGGTTACGGTCTGTTTCATTTCTAGTAAGCCTCTGTGTGTAGAATGGGATCACCTGAAGACCAAACACCCTAGCTTAATTTACCTGAAGACTTAAACCCCCCGAACGCTAACCTAACGTAACTGAACCTACCCTACCCAAACCTAATCTAACCTAACCTGACCCTACCTAACCAAGCCTAACCTAACCTAATCTACCCAACGATAATCTAATCTAACCAAACCCTCCAGCTAGCGTTAAGGTGGTTAATCCTCAGGCAAACAAAACTGGGGTGTCTAACAAGTGTACCATAGTTACTGCCCAGCTTGTGTCTACAGTAGTGCTAAGCAGGTGCTGGTCATCTCTTCATAAAGGTGATAGATAACAAAATAAAGTTACAGCAGTTGTTAAATATATAACTTTGAGCTGAGTTTACGATTTACGATAAGGAAAAAAGTTTTAGCCCAGGGTAAATGAGGCGTCAGTCCTGAGGAGGGTTCGGACCTGTCACCCAAAAACACAGAGTTTATGTGTCATGTCATCCACCACATGGAGTTTAAGGTCTAATGCTCAGTTGCAGATGTTAAAGTGTTGAGATGTATACAGTGTTTTGTGTTTGAGTGTTACTAACTGTTTATTGTGTAAGAGTTCATTGTTCAAGTGTACGGTGTTCAGCCTTTTATTCGGTGATAAGATGTTCCGCTTTGTAGGTATGCATGGTATTAACAATCATTATACTGTCTCGTGACTACATAGTTAAAAACGTAAACAGTCAAGGCAGATAATTCATAATGTGCTATGATCCTTCCTGTCCATTTACCACCTGACATTTCCGTTAATTTCTGTTTGAAGATTCTAATGATGTGTGGAGGGTTCTGGTACACGTGATCCATGATAATAGCCCCAGGGAAAGTAATCACGAGACGAACACCTGGTAATCCCCCTTGTAGGTCTTCTAGTGTGGAATTTGACGTGTGGGATGATGCTCCATCTTCCCTCATCCGCTCTCTTCTGTTTTTCTTCAATACTGGCAAAAATTTATCTCGGATTAAATTTTGGTAGTGTTGAAAAGTGAGGGAAAGAAGATTTCCAAGCTATTCCTCGAAGCATAAGAGCTCTACGATGTTCTTTTGGTCCACAGCTCACCACACTGTACCTTTCTCTACACTCAGTAGTTTCTCTGTGGGTGTTCTCACTGGCTCACAACCTCACGTCTTGCTTATTAGCCAGACCACAAAGCCGAGAGTGGGACGCATTACTCAACATGACATTATGCAGGAATGTCTCGTCATTTTCAAGCCTCGTTCTCATTTCTCTGCTAAATCTCAGTCTGGTATTTTAATTTTGTTGTGTTGGCTTTCTAAGTATCTGAACTTTGTATGTACAGAAATTAATATCTTGCACGTAGGTTCCCAACTCTTGTGACAATTACCTTTATGAATTCTGTGGAGAGCGTCAGAAACTTCTCCTGACTCGATCAATGTTTTCCTCACACCTGATGTGTTTGGCAGCCCACTATGGTCTACACCGAGAATTTTAACACTGCCTCTTATTTACCATCTGCCTTTTACTCGTACAACAGTAGTTTGGGTTTGGGTCCTTTGGTTATATGATATTCTCGTTTATAATTACGTTGACTCTACACCGAAGCTTATATGTCTGAATTCCACTCCGCAATCTTCATCCATTACTGCACACTCAGCTCACCTGCCATGATGAACTATGTGGGTAATATAACTTTGGGTGTCTTAACTATATAACCTGAAGATGTAAGAGGAAGCATTAGAATTTGTAGTATTATCAACACACACACACACACACACACACACACACACACACACACACACACACACACACTAAAGCACCACTCAGACATTAAAGTCACAGCCCCTCAGTATGGTCGGTCAGCAAAAAAATAATAAATACAATCCTAAAGGAAAAGCCTCTGACAGTGTTATCATAATCCTGGTGGCAGTGAGAGTGAAGGATGCTGTCAGGGCTTAAGTAATCCCGAAGGAGGAGCCGTCACTACAGGAGGAGGCGGAGGAGGAGATAAAGTTATTTGGGGTCGTTTTACAAGGCACACGAAAGTGATACCGATCCTCTTCTTCACAAAAATTCGTTCGTTTTTTTCCCTTTACGTCTCCCCTGAAACTACCCAATATAGTACGAGTCTCTGTGTAATTTGGCTGCCATCTTTGTCTCGTGTATAAAAAAAAGAGGCAGATAAATAATGTACTTACCTATTCACCAGTTATGAGAAATACATCGACTTAGGAATTATTGGGAGATTTTTTGGACATGGGTTGGAGATGATGACCTATGATGACCTGTCCACAGAGTACCTGTCTCACGGGGTGTGTATCAAGGACATGCAGGAGGACTGGGATCGCTGCCACCTACACTTCAAATATCTCATCAACCAAGAGCATATAAGACTCAACCTCTCCGACGCCAAGAGAGACCATAACATATGCTGGTAAGTGGCACTACACCTGGCCTATACCTGAACACACCTGGCCTGAACACACCTGGCGTATACCTCAACACACCTGGCGTATACCTGAACACACCTGGCGTATACCTGAACACACCTGGCGTATACCTCCTCAACACACCTGGCGTATTCCTCAACACACCTGGCGTATACCTGAACACACCTGGCGTATACCTGAACACACCTGGCGCATACCTACTCGTACACACACACACAGATGGCGCTGTAGTGTAAACCTTCACTCTCCCTGCAGTATTCGTACACACTTACACGTACACGTCAAGCTGATTTACACATCATTTATTACATACATCTTTAAGATTATTAGTTATTATATTTTTGCTATTTTTTTGACTCCGAGGATAAATTCGATTGAATAAAGTATAATATTTCTCCAATAGTGAGGAGGTGAAAAGGATTTGGTCTGTCAGTGTGTTTACTTAAATACCATGAACAATATTGAATAAAAATCAACAATGTTTAATTTACATCAACTACCAGGTGAACACAACAACGTTCTACACATATATATAATAACTTGTGTTTTATCTCTTCATTTTTATTCTCATCTTTCTTGTGGATTAAACTGACTTATGTTATGTTATGTTATGTTATGCTATGTTATGCTATGTTATTAGAGATGTTTAGTGATGAGGTGTGGTCAGTGTGAGTGATCTGTTTTCAGGTGTAATTAAGACAGTGTAGGAACCACATTAACTCCAGATAAAATATACTGAAGATAATGATGAATAGTGACTGACGTGTGTGTGTGTGTGTGTGTGTGTGTGTTACTCATAACTAGTACTCAGCTCTCTCTCTCTCTCTCTCTCTCTCTCTCAAAATTCAATTAATCTTTCTCATGCCATCCAACACTTCCCTTCCATTCCCACCAGTCTCCCTAATCCTTCCTACTCCCCTTAACCCTTCCTACTCTCCCTCACCCCTCATACTCTCCCTCACCCTTCATACTCTCCCTCACCCCTCATACTCTCCCTCACCCTTCATACTCTCCCTCACTCCTCATACTCTCCCTCACCCTTCATACTCTCCCTCACTCCTCATACTCTCCCTCACCCTTCATACTCTCCCTCACTCCTCATACTCTCCCTCACCCCTCATACTCTCCCTCACCCTTCATACTCTCCCTCACTCCTCATACTCTCCCTCATCTCTCATACTCTCTCCCTCTCTCCCTGACAGCATCCGGGCGGGTTTCCTGTCGTGTGTGTACGGTCTGAGTTACCTCAAGTGTGGCAAGACTCAGGCGGTGTTCCTGAAGAAGGTAACAGCGACGCTCTCCTACAGCGACGTCCAACAGGAGAAATGCAGCAAGGTCAAGCTCCGACATTGTTCCTCTGCTCCTCCAGATCTCAGGTCCTCCTGCTGCCTGCTGCTGTTGCTGCTGCTACTGCTGCTTACACTTCGGGAAGGTGGTGCTGTTGCCTAGGCTGTTTCATGTTACTTTTTATGTTTCTGCTGTTTTTGCTACGAGGAGGTCAGGTCAGGTCAGGTCAGGTCAGGAGGATGAAGCCACTGCATAGTTTTATCCACATTGAGTTGATCCTCGCTATCACTACTTCTCTTGAGGGAGAGGCGGGGGACTATGCTGGAGATCCGTACATAAAGACTAAATGAAAGTTATCTGTTGCCTAATGGGACCCCACCATAACATTAGTATTCATACACTGTTTATTTACAGCCTGTTCTGCTAGGTAGATGACCTGTGCATAGTACTGGTACACCGTCTGCTTGTAGTGTTTATTGAGGCTTAATTCTAAAATAATATCATTTCAGAGCATAAAAAAAGGAGTTTAAAAAACACTGGGTTTAAAATAAATGTTGTTGAGTAAGAATTTAAAATAATGGAGAAAAATAAAAGTTAGAGAGATTGTTAATTCCAATATAGAGAAAGAAAAAAAAATACCCAGAAAACTTCATAACAAGTTCAGTAACATTTGTCTTTTAATTTACTTTGCTGAATTATCTGAACTAAGGCATATATGTACCTGTATATGTGCCTTAGTTCAGATAATTCAGCAAAATTACAGGAGTCCAAGCCTTACATTATTACTTAGGTTTCAATTTCTTCAGACTATCACCAAGAAAGGTTTGAGAATAAAGTGTTTTCTATTTTTAATCAACAAGAATCAGTCACTTATTTATCTTAATCTAAATCAATATAGTTTAAGGGAGTTGGTAAGAGAATTATGTAATTAAGTGCAGAGTGAATATTAATTTCATGAGGAAATACTAGAGAACATGAAGGTGTAATTTAGTAAAGATTTTTAGAAATTACACCTATATTTTACTGATGTTTATATACTGTGAAAAGATATAAAGGTGTCTGAGTTCCCAGGTATGAATAAAATCTTTTAGACACGCTATTGGAAAATGTGAAACCGTGTTGATGAAATACACGGTGGAGAGCATCCATTCTCTTTATACTTTACTGTGTATCTCACCACTTTACAGTCAGTGAGCACACATTCTGACAACTGCTTTACAATTAATATGTGATATATTATGTAGTCTTAGAGTGTTAGTCAGTTATTAAGACCGGGTTGAGATGCTATTCCAGTAAATGTTAAGAGACTAGATATTGTATTATTAAGTAGGGTGTGTAATGAGACGTACTGTTGATATCTTGCTGTAGAGATGTTTGAAGGATATTTTACTGTATAAGACTCCAGCTGATGAAACGGTAAAAACCAAACGAAAAATATAACTAAATTTGTTACTACTGTTTTGTGAGTCTCATAGGCATGCCTGGCCGTTACGGACAGTGTGGATACAGTACACTGGACACTTAACCTTCGGGAGGCGACGTGACCGGCACTACACTGCTTTCAAATCCCCAACTTGTAAAGTTAGGCACCAGTTTACAGCTGCCCCATATCGAACCACCATAAAGCAGAAGGTGAGTGCATTATCCACTTGACCGCTATACTCCACCGATTTGTAAAACGCTGACAAATGGCACAATTAAGAACCATTACACAATGGTGCACCAAGCCTGTGTGTGTGTGTGTGTGTGTGTGTGTGTGTGTGTGTGTGTGTGTGTGTGTGTGTGTGTGTGTCGCTAAATTGATAATCGCCAATTAAGCTTTAAAACGCAACTGACGTTTTTGTCACAAAGGGAAACTTTTTTAATTACAACAACTTAATGGATATTAATTCGCTATGGTAAAAAAAACGGTTTTATATAATACGTCATTTACCATCATAAGGTAGCCTAAATTGACCTAAAGTAAGTTAGGTTAGGTTAGGTTATTCATCTATTCATTTATATACTTAATAAATCATCTACATGAACGTCTATGACCACTCAAAAGTTTCCAAAAACATACATAGAGGTTATCGCTACTTCACAATTATCACTTCATGTTTTAGCGTAACATACTTGTCAGGGATTCCATCATCATTACAAAGAAATTTATTTTTTTCCTCAGTGATTTTTTTCGCTGTAAAAATCAAACCTTCATTCACAAACATCCTCCGCCTCGGCTCTCTCTACACGCCTCGCCCCACTCTCTACACGCCACGCCTCTCTCTCTACACGCCGCGCCTTTCTCTACACGCCTCTCTCTCTACACGCCTCGGCTCTCTCTCTACACGCCTCAGCTCTCTCTCTACACGTCACGCCTCTCTCTCTTCACGCCGCGCCTTTCTCTACACGCCTCTCTCTCTAAACGCCTCGGCTCTCTCTAAACGCCTCGCCTCTCTCTACACGCCTCGCCTCTCTCTCAACACGCCTCACCTTTCTCTCTACACGCCTCACCCCTCTCTTTCTACACGCCTCGCCTCTCTCTCTACACGCCTCACCCCTCTCTTTCTACACGCCTCGTGAAAAATGTTGATGAAACGCGAGGTGAGAGATGGGGGAAATATTCATCGAAATTAATAAAAAAATAATAATAATTCCATCTCGTGTCAAGTCTTTTATCTGGGCTTTTGTCCCCTCCCATCAAGGTCTAATTTCCGCCTCTTTTTTATTGGTTTGGGAAGAGGTGATGAGAGGGGAGGGAGAGGTGGGAAGAAGGGGGGAGGGGGAGAGGTGATGAGAGGGGAGGGGGAGAGGTGGGAAGAAGGGAGGGAGGCAGAGAGGGCAGGGAGGAAGAGCAAGAAGTGAGGGGGCGGGTGAGTTGTAATTTTGAGGGGGAGGAGAAAGGGATGAAAGGGAGACATGAGGTGAGAGAAAAGGGATGAGAGGTGAGGGGAAGGTGATGAGGGGTGAGGGGTGGAAGAGGTACTGTACGTGGAATTTCAATAAATATTTTTTTTTCGGAATTCAGATTAAAAAAATAGTCACTTAGATGCCAGATTCTCGATAATAATCACCATCTCAGTCAGTAAATCTTAGTGTGATATGATGGTGATCCCAGTCTTGGTGCTTTGAATAAAATACATCACCATTATCTAAACACCATCACGTATTTCACTTTCAAATTTGTTATTTTTAAGAACGTCTTTATTTCATCACTTATTCTAATTTCTTAAACTCTGTGATTTTTACATCTATTTTTTTTAATTAGTTTGTTTTAATTATTAGTTTATTTCCTGTTATATTTCAAGTTATTGTTTTTTTATCACCAAGTATATTGTTACGAAAATCTAATAAACACAATTTTTCTATTGTTTGCTTTTATCATCTATTACAACACTCTTTAATACACTCACTTCACCTGTCTAATAATCTTTACAGTCAGTCAGTCAGTCAGTCAGTCAGTCAGCCAGTCAATTTCTCTTTCACAATTTATATTTACGTAAAAAAAAAGACAATCTTTTTTGTGTATTCCAATTACATAAAATACCTAAATATTTTGGTCCAAATTCCTTTCTAAATTGCTGTACTGTTATACTGTTATGGTTACAAAGCCCGACAATACATTTTTTAATTGATTTTTCATTTTTTTTTACAGTGAATCGTTTTTTTTTCTATCTTCTTATTTTATTTTGTTTTTCTAGTCGATTGACATTTAATGTTTTATTTTTTTTTTTGCTCTTCATTTCACCTTTTCAGTATTGTTATTTGAATTTATGTCAATCATTGCCGTTTTCGTTTTATTTTTCCTAATATATGTCTCTAATTAAAATTTTCCTGTATCTCTTCCCTTTTATCGTCCAAATTTCCTTTACCTTTTCTTCACTTGGTCTTATTCCAGCAGTTCTCCTCCCCCGTAGTCTCTTTCGATCTTTACCAGCGATAACTTCCTCACAGAGACCAAAAGTTGACACAAACAAACCGCAACGATCGGCAACTTTATTGAGGTGAAGAGTTTAGTTCACTACTCAGCCATTGGTGAAGTAAACACTTTAACATGGCCCCAACCTACATGTGTTCCCGAGTTTGTTTAGTTCTTTACTTAACTCGAAAAATTTGGTGACTGAAGTTGCTAAACGTGAAAATATTTGTCCATCTACGAGAGAGCAATTCACCTCTTACGATGATCAAAGCTGCTCAAAAAAAAATAAAAAATAGTAAATACCAAAAAAATTAAATAAAAATAAAAAAATCTGGAAATGTCATCATATTATTTCTCGTGGCCGCCGCTGGTTGCTTGTGCCAGGAGACAGACAGACAGACAGACAGACAGACAGACTCGGACTAATGTTATCCTTTCGACCTCCAACATTTAAGAAAGGAGAAAAAAGAAGAAGACCGCAGCTATGCATTAAGTCCAATCCCCTAATATTTTTCCACACTATTTCCAACAAGTTCACGAAGGTCGGGCGTGAGTTTGGGCCGCTTCATGGGAGGAGGAGGAGAGGAGGCGTCATCCATTACATCTGGAAGACGACCCAAGAGTTCCAACACCGTCTAACGTCCATTGTATTAAAGAGGACCTTGTAATAGTTATCTGCTCTCTGTCACTATCGGCTTCACCCAGACCTAACCTAAATCTAAACTAAAGTAACCTAACGTAACCTTATCCAACACAACCATTGAGATACCCTCGGCGGTTGTGTTCCTAGCCCAATATTGTGTTCAGCCGACACCCTCCAGGGATAAGTGAGCCTCTCCTCCATACTAAACACCTTTACCACCTGGATCAAAAGGCTCCTCCAGGCCAGTATCATGTGCTGAGAGCCGCGACCATTCAGCCTCCCACCAGTCGACTCCCTCCACAACCCATCAGAATCAGAGACCTTTACGAGCTAACTTGACGCCCTCCTGATGAGGTTCCTGATGACCTGTCTTCCTGGGGCGACAACAACGTCTTGCAAGATCCCACTCCGACGTACACCAGGTTGTAAGGTCAAGGTTCACCGGAGGGGTGTGGTGGAGCAGTGTCTGTATAATGCAACATATTGTAATAGTGGTGATACAATGGGTTAAAATTATGTTCCTGGCTTTTTACTTAATGAAAAACTTCCCACCAATTTCCACGCCTTAAAAAACAATATTTTCCCGTCATTGTTAGAGCTTTTAATTAGCGAACTAATGACTTTGATCAAAAGATATATTCGAGAAAAAACTTAATCATCTAATATTCTTTATAAGAATATACAAAATATGTGAGCGTGACCTTTCAACAAATATCCTCATTAAAGGAAGAAGAAAAAAATCAGCGTAATTTTCTTTTCTTTTTGTCAGTTTTGCTCAAAAATATATTTAATATATTGATCATTATAGAGGCTTTATGACGCACTCTGTTTGTAGTATCGGGCAGGGTCCGAGATTGTGAAATGCTGAGGAGTTGTTGATGTTTTTTCTATTCCGTATATGGAGAATGGATGAACGCCCTCTAGCTGCGGTAGATCCCTAGAGTAGTGGCAGGTTCCCCTCACTCCGACAACTACAGTATGTAAATGAATGCATTGGGACTCTGTGGCTGAATGGGTTACCATTCTATTATCAGAAATGTTTATACACTTAAATTGGACGCTAAAACAGCGCCAGAAGACACATGTGTCCTAAAAATCAAATCACACTGAAAATGTTTTAGTTTTCAAAGGCAGAAGTGCTGAATTGATTGATAATTCAGGACGAGTCTGTGTCAATCAAGCAGAATCAGTGTGGGCGAGTCACTGGGGTGTGTCGATATAGAGCAATATGATTGGCTACTGAGTTAGCGATCCGAGACTCCAGATCCCTCAATTCCATTTCCATCTCGGAGGTTATTATTATGTCGTAGCTTACCTGAGCCACTTGGAGAGTTAAGGAAAACTTTACTTTAAGAATATTCTCCATTACCGGGTCTTCTTCCTCCTCCTCCTCCTCCTCCGTCTCCTTCTCCTCCTCCGTCTCCTCTTCCGTCTCTTTCTCCTCCTCCTCTCTGCGCTGACGTAAAAAATATCCACCTAAATCAATTACAATAACAAGAGATACAGCGACGAGTTCCCAGCCAGTGATTTAACTTACAAATACGTGTCGACAGACTGTATAGAGGCCTCACGTATGGTAGTGTAAACACGACAACCAGACTTAGCTTCACCGAGAGTTTTATATCAGAGTTTAGCTTCACCGAGAGTTTTATATCAGAGTTTTTGCATTCAAGCTTATGTATTTTTTTCCTCTTTAAGCAAAATTGAGCGATTTCTTCCTCCTGTCAAACTTGTCTCGACACCGAATTGAAATAAAAAAAAATATATTATTCCGACACGAGAAATTCATGAATAAAACGTCACCACTGAGTTAGGAATTCACCTTCGTTTCTTCATATAATAAAAAATAAATAAATAAACATCTACATCAAGTTGTGAGGAAACTGAATTGCTTGGAGGTGGCTGAGAGGCGAGTTGGAATGTTTCCTTTAGAGATGGGGGAGATGTGTGGTAGAAGAGTGTGATAAAGGTGTGTGGTGATAGAGGTGCGTGGTGATAAAGGTGTGTGGTGATAGAGGTGTGTGGTGATAAAGGTGTGTGGTAGAAGAGGAGTGTGTGTGGTGGAAGAGGAGTATGTGCCCCCCCCACACACACACACACAACGCAATTAACATTTTACAAGTGTGTCCCAAGTTTAACCATCAGGAAGGTATTACAACAACCAACTAACTAGACACACACACACACACACACACACACACACACACACACACACACACACACACACACACACAGTTTCAAGGAGTTTCAATTCACATTAAAGTTTTGATCTGACAACAACATACAACTAATTGTAACGAGGAATTTGTCTATAGGAAATGTTTGTCGAAGTTATTTTGTGGTTTAGAAAATGAAGTACTTGAGGCCTTCCATTCATCTTTAGAGTTGGTTTTGTTTTGAATTAGAAGAGAGTTTGGTGTAGTGGATATTCTGAGAACTTGGTTTATTCGCCGCACAGAGTTTGTGGCCACAAACAGTTTGATTTAGTGGCCACACATAAAGCTTGATTCAGTGGCCATTCATTGAGTTTGGTTTATTGGGATAGTATCACCAGCTGGAACAATATCATCAACTGGGACATTATCACCAGCTGGGATACATGTCACGAACATGTTACAGTCACCTTCACGACGAGGTAATTGATCAGATAGTTAGCTAGTATATATTTAATGTGTATTTTCTTAACATATAATCTCACGTCGTGTTTACAAAATATCCTTAAGACACAA